TAGTACTTTACCTTTTTATACAAATATTTGCCTGCCAGTGTTCGATAATATCTGAAATCCTAATTCAAATTCTCTGTTTTTGAGAGGTCATGGCCTTGATTTCCTAAGAGTTCCTTGGCAGCAGCACTCAAGGGTTGGAGAAGGATATTTGTATGAGAAGAGGCTGGACGTACAAATCTAATGCCAAGAAAGGAGAGCCACAATTAGATAAATACAAATACCCCCATGAAATTCAAGCAATGGAAGCTCACTCTGATGCCCATGTGTGTGACAGAAATCTCTCTGCTGAGCTGCAAAGACAGATGCCAGATCTGCAACTCAGGGCAGCGCCGTTCCCAGGCAGGCCTTATTGCTGCCTTTGGGTGGCTTCTGCTTTCCTGTGCATTTAGCTTTCTATTCTAATATTTGATTGAGTAACTGTAACAAATGGAGGCTCTTCGCTCTGATATTTTGATTTTTACCTAGAATGCTACCAGCAAATAATTGCAAGTAGAAAACGCATAAAATCCTTGCAAGTGTTGGCTTTCTGTAATTGTTCACACTGTAATTAGGGAGGTTATATCAGGAATATCTTAGCAGCTTTTTAATCAGAAGCATAATGCTATTTTTACACATGCTAAGCTAGATACCTTACTCGGAAAATAAATAGTGAGATTTTGTATTTATTCTGCCTTGATTTTTCACATTAGCTCTGTATACTTCTCGACTACAGACTTGGGAAGAGAAGGAAGATTGATTCTAATTTATAGATTTACTCCTGGAAACTAAAGCTGTTTGGTTTTCCTTTCTCTTCCTATTACCTATTATCTGCAGGAGAAAGATTCATGCTCGTCAGTTTTAATGTCATCTTTACTGGAGATTCACATTCAACATTTCCACTAATACAGTTCTTATGTTTTTTGTTGGGTTACTCCAACTGCCTAAAATCTCAGACTTTTTCACTTGCTAACTCTGTTCCAACTCGGCTCTGCTCTGTTTTCCAACTCTGTTGGAAAAAGTCGTAGGCTTTGACACTTTATTGCAAAATCTGAAGCAGAAGACAAAGCTGCTTTGAGGCTTTTGTGCTTTCTAGAGCATTTAGAAGTAAAAATACTCGAGGAAGAATTAAGGTCAGATAATACCACCAAAAAAAAAATCAAGAACTGTGGAGAGAAGTTACCAGCATCCCCTGCTCATATTATATAATCTATATGAAAACAGTGCTTCTGATCTACTCTGTAAGGCATCTGGAGCTGCTGGTGTCTCTGTTGGGTGTCATTAAGTGAGGAAGGAGGAAAGGGAGAATCCACTGCTTAGAGACAGTCATGTCCACGTTAGTAATTTACAAAGAAAAAAAGAAAGAAAAAAAAGGCACCACAGTCACATTCAGAGCTGAGTATTAAGAAGTAGCACCTTCTGTTTTACACTGAAAAATCCTGAAACTGGCAACATTAGTTAGCCTTTAGGCAGAGTGCGTTTATTAAACATTTTGCTGCCTCCAAAGAGGCTCTGCTCTACAGCCACTGTTAATACTGTAGTGCATGCTCTCATATTTTTAAGGACCTATCCAGAAACATGGAGCATAAAAATAAAAAAGAAAGAAAGAAAGAAAGAAAAAGAGCCCCAGCTCAGGAGATTAGGAAGAATATAAATAATACAAACCCCTCTTCCCTGACTAAAGCCGTTCCTACAGCCTCAGATAGGCAGGGAAAGTCTTGCAATACCCCTGCTGGAGAAGATACCAGGCTGGCAAGAAACAGCATTTCTAATCAAGTTCTCTAGGTAGGATAGAGCTTGCAGAGTCGTGGGAGGATAAATTGAGGTGGAATTCTTTAAATCAGTTTTAGATCACAGCCAACTCTGCTCAGCTCAAGTGTAACATACAGAGATTACTGGGGAGGGGGCAGATCTAGTATTTTCTATATGCCATTTTGTGTAAGTCAGTTAGATCACCTCAATGTGCTTTGTGTAACTTAGTCCCATATCTACCTGTCAAAGGGTAGCCCAGCTGAAAGTGTGTGGCGTTTTCTTTACCCAATCCGTGAACTCTGTAATCAGGTATTGAAGTGCAGTGTTTGTAACAGGCTATGTTGGGCATGTCCTGCTATGGTGGTCAGCATCAGTCCACCCAGGAGTGACAAATAGTCCTGGAAAGGAAAAAAAAATTATTCATTATCCTCTGTTTCAAATATTGGACTAGATAATAAGTTTATTTCAATTTATTATTTATTGAATTAGTTCTGAATGTGTCTTTTTTTTTCCTGAAAATGTGGCAGTGTTACTGAACTTGTAAGGATGATAGAAAGCATAGGTGAGAGGTCTTGGCCTGCAATGCTGATTTGCTCTAGCTTCTTATTCAACCCTTTCCTCCTCCCCACACTTCTCTCTCCTTAATTCCACTTTACAGGGTAGCTGCTTCAGTATCATCGCGCATGAAGCTTTATTTAAGGGTCAAGTTTCCCAAATGCAAGGTCTTGCAGCAACTTGGGCACTTACAAATCAAAATCACAGCTTCAGAAGTCAAGCTTCACAGAGAGAGATGGCTTCTCATTTCTACTAACATCACAGCTATTTTGTGTCCAAGTCACATTTGAAAGCAGGATTCAGGTGCCAAAGCTACTGGGACAGTTTTTAAAAATGCAACATGCAACTAGTGTCTCTCACTCTTAAGTCTTACAGTTTGGAGTGTATGAAGTGCCATTTCCCAGTGTTTTGATGATGTTGTGATGAGGAAACATGAAGGATATTCATTATGGATACAAAAAGTAAATGTGGTTTGAGATGATTTGAAGTGAGGTATTGTGGACATTTGCGAGCTGTGAGCCAAACTGCTACTTGAAAGCTTGGTTTAATCCTGTTCTCTTCAAAATCCAGAATGTGCCAGAAACGTGACGTTTTGTGGATGAGCTTGAAGTGTCCAGAAGGATTTTTGAAGAAGAGATAGGCAGTTCAAAGGGAGTAACTGTGAAAGCTGTTGCTGTTGCAAGTAGTTTGTATTTATTCAGTTATGACTGTTACGACCGTGTAATGAAAGCAGCCATTCTATTCATGATGCTGGGAGTTGAGTACATAAACATACCTGCGCGTGGGGTTTCAAACCAACGGGAATGCTGAGCAATATCACAGCTGTGTGCAACAGAGCAGGGCCACCCGCACTGCGAGGACTGGGTATTTCTTAGGGAGATGTTGGTTACGTGATCCATCATTGCAGGCAGCTAAAGCCCTGCTGTTCCTCTCCACAGGTTACATAGCCCTCTGAGATTTTTCAAAGAAAAAAAAATCCATATTTGATTTTTCTGGAGCAGTTACCTGTATAATTAGTGAATTTGGTTGTAATTCCATAAATACTTCTCACCCAGTGCTTCTCTGTAAGAAGGGAAGTCCAACCATCCTAGAAGAAATTTGTGCAGGTAGAGCTTACAAGCAGGTTTAGACTTGCAAATAGCACATGGATTTGTTCTAGGATGTATAAATAGCATATGCTAACAAATACTAATTGATCTTTTCACAAAAAAACAAACAAACAAAGTTGAAGAAAATCTGAGTCATCTCATGAAACTTGGCCTTCAAGTCTAAAATCAATTTACAGAAGGCAGTCAACAAATCATAAGATTTAGGGTGGTATGTGACTTGTGTTTGAAAGGCAAAGTTACCTCAGTCATTTCCTAATAGCTGTGTGCATGATTTGACAACCTCAGTAACAATGTTTTTAAAGTACATTTTTTGTATTGCACTGTACCGAGAGCTAGGGATCCAGAATGCACATCCTGCATTTCTGAATGGAGTTGGGAGGAGGTCACACAGTGATGACATTCCCTGTGTGGAGGTTTAGTGTGGTAGGAAATGCAGGGGAACCACCTGCCAGGAAGCAGAGCCCTTTGCCATGTGCCTGGGGGTGACATGAGGGTGAGGGAGCTCAGAAGACTCACAGCAGAAAGACAACTCGCCTCTTTTGTCATAAACCTAGGGAAATGTAGAGATTTCCACTGTAGGTGGATGCTCTGTGGGTGCTCTGCCAAGATCTCCCATATAGGATGTGGTGCTGTGGCTTGGGACAAGGAGTAAGCTGTATTAAAGGCTAGTGTTGACTCATTTTCTGTGTACCAGATTTTCAAAGTATTTACAAATACCAAATAGGTACCCAGCAAGATTTCTAAAAGCACCCTTAAAATAAAGGTAAACACTTCTAGTATCCATCCATTTCAAACTTTCGGGCTCTGGCTATATAAAGAATATTGCACCAAACTCTTGCAGTTGAAAAAAGGTATGCTTTTATTGCTGCTATTGACATTTTTATGTAAGATCTTATGAGAGACAGAGCACTGCTAGTCTTTGTCTTACTGCTCAACATGAAACCTACTCACCTACTGCAGCAGCCTGGGTTCACTGATGGGGATTTAAAAAACCCGCTATTTCAGTGTTTAAAAACATCCTGTGGAGATACTTGGTTTTTTGTGACCCCCAATAGCTGGGACAGGGCTGCAGAACATGTACATCAATTTTGCACCCAGCTGCAGGACATCCAAAACAGCTTTAATCAGAGGTTTCCTCAGCCTTCTTTTTTTTTTTTTTTTGCAGAGCAGGTAACTGGTGAAGTTTTGTTCTGATTTTTAATAACTTGCCTAATAGCTCTGCATCCCTCTGTGCCTGGGGAGCAGCACAGCCCACTTTGAATGTCTGGGTTCGAATGGGGATGTGCTTGATGGACAGCCCAGCCACAAAGGAGAGGACTAAAATAGACATCTTTACTTCAGTACTTCATTTTGAGGTACTGAGCAGAAATGAACCTGATCCAGCTCCCTGTAAATAGCCAAGAGTAGGTCTCTGATGGGTTGCCCACCTCTGAAGCTTGGGCATTCCAACTTTCTTTTTTCGGATTTTGTGGGTTGGCTCCACTTATAATACTGAGTCGGTAATAAAATTAATTAGACACATCATAAGTTGTTCGTCCCAAGAGACTATTTCTACTTGCAGCTCTCATTAATTATTCTGACTAGGATTGTCTGTCTTTCTATTTTTAGGCTGGCCATGGGCAACGCTCTCTGTTCTTGGATTCCTCTACTGCTTCTCTCACATTGGCATTGAATGGGAGCAGACGCACGCGGTGAAATGAGAGCGACACAGAGGTTTGGTATCGTGGGAGATGCTTTTAAAGACAGTTCACAGGTTAATGGCTCCTCTGCACTGGATATACTTCCCAGCTGCAGAACAATGTGCCAAACAAACCAAATATGTGATCCCTGTGTTAAAACTATAAGCTCATTTAATTGATTCTGGATTGCACATTCAGCAGTTAAACCAGAAACATTGATGTGCTGTGGCAGGGGACAGCATTTTGAATTATGTGGTCTTTATAAAACAGCAACTTTATTTAAGTTTGAGAACAGGCAGCTCAGAGTAGGTGTATTTCACATACCCTGAAGACTGGTTTTATTCCTTCCAAAGTTTTGCTGCCTGTTTTGACACATTAAGGAAAACTTTCCTTTTCCTACTTTGCACAATTCGATAATCTCAAACTCTTCCAGCTACTGTCCAGGGCACAGCAGGTCATACCCTCTGCTCGTTTACTCCATGAAGGGCAGGATGCTCATCATTCCTTTCTGATTGCTTTCAGATTTAAGCTAGAATATTTCTGCTGTTCTTGCTGACTCAATTTTTCAGCCTTAAACTATTTTTTCTACTTACTGTGGCAAATCCTGCGTTTTCTTTTGAATTTCTTAATTTAAAATTCCTCCTTTAAACAATTTCCTCTGCTAGTTTTAAGGTGGGTTTTCTTGGGGGTTTCTGTTTGTTTTTCTTTTTTTTCTTTTTTTCTTTTTTCTTTTTTTTTTTTAGAGGGTGCAGGGAGGCCAGCCTTTTCTTAAGGACCAGCTTTTCTTGATTAATCAAGTATGACCCTACCGCTCCTTGTGCTTTTAAGGCTCTCTGCCTTGTATTAGTGTTAAAGCATGTAACACTACCTCTATTATGGGGCTGAATCCCATATTTTGGCGAATTGCTCCATCTGCCTCTCCTTTTCTGTTGCCAAATGAGATATTCCAGGTCTGCCTGGATGGTAAATCTATTTAGTTTGTTTCATTCTTAGGTGTCCAGGCCATCTTTGGAGCTTTAGAAAGGGTACAGCCCCCCGCTGCAGTAGCACAGCGTTAGCCAGACCTGCAGGTCCTTTGCCAACAAGCAGCCCTGCTCCAACGGCACCTTTGCCAGAACCCAGGGCTGGCCGGAGCCGGGAGGGATCCTGCCTGCCTGCAGCCCCCGAGCTGCGTTCCCTGAAGGCCAGGGAGAGCCCGCTCGGCCCGGACAGAGCGCGTGTCCTTTCCGAGCAGCTGTCAAGGAGCAGCCTGGGGACCTTTGGCTGCCTGGGCTGTGCTTCCCGTTAGGCACAGCAAGAGGTCCCCATCCCTCGAGGAGGCTTCTCCTGGAGCATCTTCCGAGGCAGGGCAGCTTCTGTGGAAACTTGTTCTGGCGCCTGTTGGGTGGCGCTGCCGCAGCCATCACTACTGCAGCGTCGCAGCAGCCCTTCAACGAGCAGGCCGCTGCCCGAGATGGGCTTCAGCTTAGTCCTTGTGTTTCTGACTTATCTGCTGCTTAAAATCTCCATCTTCATCTTCCTCGTCATTTGTTTATGGAGAAGTAAGGGCAGAGACTTCAGCTTTCTGGCTCTGAAACACTGGTCTCTGTAGCTCTCTCCAGAGACTGAGCCCACCGCTCGCTGCTGCAAGGCAGCCCCTAACACCTAGGGGAGGGTCTCCTCCCATGCGAGGGCAGTGATTCCCCTGGGAAGCTGTTTCTGGAGTAATGAGTGGCCTGCTGAAAGTCAGACCTACCCTCCATGGGACCTGCTCTCAGCCTCCAGATCTCTACCAGTTCTCATTGTGGCCTCCTTCGGGGAGCTGAGGGCAAGAATCTCCTGAAACTTACCTCAAACGTTGTAATTAAATGGAATTGGCATTGGAGTAAACAAGTCATGAGTCTGCTCTTGAGTCTTATTGATTACCGTTATTATATGAAACAAGTGGCTACAAAGTGATTAGATTGCACTTTGTATGCATGCAAAACTTCCCCTGCAATATGGAAATGACCTTGAAGGTCAGCCAGATTGTGCTTCTCTCTAATTGTTTTTTATATATGTGTTTGGTGCTTTACACATCTTCCACAGTCTTGTTTCTGTTTCTAAAAATAAAGCTCAAACTTAGTGTTGGCTTGAGAACATGGTCTTATCTGTGGTTTGTTGTAAGAAAAACAAGCGTGTTGCTGCACTGAAGAAGTGTTAATTACTATACACTGGAAGCGTGCAGGAGGGAGTTGCTGCTTCAGTTCCTCTTGTGCACTGTTTGGCACACAACAGTCCCTGACAGTAGAAGTTTAAAAAGCAAATACACCTTTTGTAGATTGGTTAAGGTGAGGCTTCCCTTCTGCCTACTGCCCTGGTCCAGAGTCAGAACTATGAAGTATGCTTGCACAATTTAATAAATACAATATATTCTGAAATGATAGGAAATAGTTTCTAGGAGAAGTAAACACTTTCCTTTACTCTCAGCCTTAATCAGGAGTTCTTTTCCTCCCACTTGAAAGTGCTTATTTCAAGAACAAGCCCATTGATGAAACTGCTGATCCCTCCTGCTTACTAAGCACCTGCAGGCAAGGCAGGAAGACACTTGGGTTCAACATACACTAACATATGTTAAAGTGTTTCAGGTGCTGCCTGAGCTCGAGTGAGGTCACTTACTGCATCACCTGTGCCTGATCTGGGTGCAACTCATCATCATCATGTGGTAGCGATTTAGTTGATGAAATTATGTGGTAGGTACAAATGCCTTCAGGGAAATCCTCTGTGGACTGCAGAGTCCTCAGGGAGCTGCAGAGACTTGAAAAAGACTGGAGTAAAGAAGCAAGTTACCAAGAGAAGGGGAAAAAGGATGAGGAGAATTCCCTTAATCAGCCCTTCCTTGGGGAGGCGGTAGGAAGCAGATGCACAAGGTAAGACCCCCTGTGCCAAGAGGGAGGCAAGGTGAGGTGCTCCACGGCTGTGGATAACAGGAGTTCCAGGAGGGCAATGATGAGGGAGCTGGTGGCTCTGAAAATGGCTGCACAGAGGCCTGTGGTGGCTGCTGAGGAGAAGGATTTAAAGGTGATTCTGCAAAGCATCCCTGGGAGACTGGCAGCCCTGGGGCACTGGCACAGCAGCATCCCTGTCTCAGCTGGTGGCTCTGGCAGCACCACAGAGCTGCAGCAGCCCTGTCACATGCGTGTGCAGCCGCTTCCAGCCTTGGCTAACAAAGCACCTGCAGGCAAAACTGTTAGTGGGGAGGGCAAGATGGTGCTAAGTGGCTCTTACTTAATTTTACATTGATTAGAGGGCAAGTGAGGCTTTGCTCACATCTCTCACATCTGAGAGCTAAAAGCAGATTAGCTGCACTAACCAGCTTACCACAGCTCGTAGGAAAAAAACAGCTTAACTATAAAAACCTGCAGCAATTTTGTTGTTAGTCACAGCAGTAACAGGGGTGCCTGTCCTCTCTCTCGCGCCCCGCTCCGCGTCCGCTCGCTGCCTGCAGCTGCCTCCTTGGGCGCGCGGCCGCAGGGCGAGCAGGGGGGCGGCCGTGCAGGGGGGTGGCTGCACCTTCCTCCCGGCTCCTCTCCGTGCCCACGCGCTGACGGAGCAGCTCTGCCAGTCCCTGCCTGGCAAAATGACTCTCCTGGTGCGTGGCTGCTTGCTGGTCAAGTCATACATATTAATCCAGAAGGAATAGCTGGAATACGGCTCTCCACAGGCCCTGTGAGGAACCATTGAGCAATGAGGGAAATCTGCATTGTAGTGGATGGCTGCTTGTTTTAAGTGACACCCCCAAGAGGGGTGCTGCCCCACGAGCACCCTACAGAAGCTGGGTGCATCGGGGTGCTGTGAATGCAAGCAGTGAGTTCAACAGGCTCACCGGTTGCGTGTGGGTTGCTTTCCTCATTATTTGCATGTAAAAGGAAGACCAAGACAGCTGTTTTGTTCCAATTTTCAGCTTTTGACAAACAAGCTGATGTCAAGCAGGGGGTTCTGCTAGAGCATCAGGCAACTAGATGAGTCCCCATGGCACGAGTCACCTGCTTCTGCTCATGATCCCCAAGCCTGGGGGCAGGCACAGAGAGCTCCAAGCACAAGGGGCTTCTGGGGATGCCACCAGCACTCATGAAGAGAGGAGAAGGAAACTTCCAGAGAAGCTGATCCGTCCATCCATCTTTAGATGCTGTGCAAGAGGCTGAGCTGAAGGGTTTCAGGGTCCACATTTCAGGCAGCCTGTGAGCCTCTCTGTTCAGAGGAGCCCCCACAGCAGCACAACTCGCTGCTCCTGCCTCACTGTCAGCATCAGCAGCCTCGGAAACTATCGACCTGGGGGCAAATGGTCTCCTGCACTCAGCATCCAGCAGCAACAGCAACTGCATTAAAACTACCAGGCAGCACAGGTCAATCACCTGATCCTTGGCAAGGAGGCAGACACGCTTACAGAAGCTCCCAAAACATCCTCTTTCCTTATGCTGGGACTCACAGAGGTCCAAGCAAGAGCAGGTCAAGCTAATGTCAGGTCTTAACAGAGGAAAATCCTGGCCTCGATTAAATTTTGACCACAAGTTACGCTCTAGCTCCTCATTGCCTGCAGGTCCAGCTTGGTTTAAATGCAACTATCCTAAGGTGTTGGTACCAGCTGCCTTCAGAAATGGGTCAAATATTCTTGGAATGGGACCTGTGACACAGGAATTCCTGAGCCACTGTCAGAGTACAGGTAACAAATATATCACTATCTACAGAGAATGAAGAAAGCTTTACATACGTTTGGGTCTCTGAATTGCCTCTGATAGATCCATCATCTAGCCACCAACAGGCTAAAGTTTACTGACGGGTGCAGGGTGTGAGGGGAAAAAAAAAAAAACAGGAATAAAACTTCAGTTATGACCTGTGACATTTAAATTGTATTAGCGCTCCCTCTAGAGCTAGTCTTTCTTGAGAAAATTAATGAATTTCTATGGACCACAGAATTTGATATCCTTGCACTAGTGCATTTGAGTTTCAAAAATTAGGTGGCAAAAATAGAAAAAACAGAAATAATATTTAAAGACTCCAAG